CTGTGGTGCAATTGGTTTCACTGTACTTCGTTTCTCTTAGAGTCGCAGAGCCTGTTAACGACTTATGCGTATTCTCTTTATAATCTGTCAGACATGTCTTTCCTTATTTAGCACCCCTCAGTTTACGTTGAAAAAAGAGTCACAGATAATACATTCAAATGGACATTCTCCAAAATTTTAAATTATGTGATTATGCTAGCTTCTCCAAACGTACCAATTTGTGTGCATTAAATGTCTATAGCATTTTGTATGTCAATCATACTTCAATAAAGTAGTTAAAAAAAGGAAAATGGGCAGAAAATTGAAATGCATTTCCAAATAACTGAAATACAAAATGTAAATTGACATCTAAATAAATTTTAAATGTCATTACTATCTTGGAAAAATGTAAAAAGCAACGAACACATACACACACGAAAGAATATACTGACCTCACAATTAAGACAACAGTTTGCTTAACGTTGTTCATTGTCCTTCAGGTGATGTACTATTCTTGAGTATGGCTGACAGGTTTCAACAATAATGATACGTTTTTATTAATCACTTATGCATAGCAACTACAGGGATTATTAATTAGAAACCTGCAGTTAGATTCAGAGAATGACAGGGATGATGACTTAGTTGGAAAGAATGATGCTATGTGTGGTCTCCTCTATCTTGAATCTTCTCTCTAAAAAAAAATCACCTGCTTTTGGTGGCGGGAAATGTTGTAATTTTTCAGAAATTAAGGATGATCTTTGGTTTAATGATTTATATTTGTATATCAGCTTCCATTTAGAACAAGTATATTCTGATTCTGTCCTGTGTGAAATGAGAGATTATATTATATTCAGGGTTTACAAATGTGGTTATAGTTTTTGGCTGTCCAAAATGACGTTATTTACTACTAAGTAATCAACATAAATCCCTTTTGTAGTATTTTAAATTGACAGGTATAATACAGAACTGTGCTCCTATAGGTTTTGCACAATTTGTAAGGTTTAGGTTTTTCCCCTTCCCCCATGTGTTTAAAGAGAGTTTACAGCAAACTGTGATTCCCTTACTATTTTCAGCAAAAGTTTATTACTTATTTAAAAAGGGGTATAATTAAGGGAATCATCTCTGAAAACCCTCAGTAGTCACATTTTATCTGCGCTCACTTTTCAGCTTTTTATTTTATGAGTAATCCTTCAGTTGTAAAGAAAAGAGATTTTTGTGCCCATTTGCTCCTAACTTTGTGGTTTTCTTTTAACTTGATTTGAAAAATCATTGTGTCTATGTGTGTGTATTTTTTTTCCTTTTATGATGCTTATTGATATGAGTTCTGAAAATTTCCTTTTATGAGTAGGATGAGAAACATTGCTAATGGAAACACAGTTTTTTTCAAAGCAGGGAGTGGCCAAAGTTAAGATAGAGCCCTTATTATTTTGATTGAAGTATCATACGTATTTATTTTGTTTGATCTAAAAAGTTATAGCTCTCTTCTTTTGGTGTGGCACAATTGGTTGCTGCTCTCTGCACATTAGAAATCAGTGGATAATAAGAAAAAACAAACATGGAATGTTTTTTAGTTACTTGAAAGTACTGAGCAGGAAACTGAGGACTCAGTAAAAACAACAACAATAATAAAGAGAGCTAATGCTTGAGTACTGCTGTGTGCTAGGCACTGCATTTAGTAGTACACGTGCATTTTCATTTAATTTTTACAATGTGATATGATTGATACCATTATTTCCATTTTACTGATGTCTAGACTAAACAAAGTTGTAGTCCTACAGTATGAGTTTGAGGATATCTGCAGTACTCTGTGTGGTCCCCCTTTCTGAAGGAGACCACTAACTGCAGGGAAATGGAAATTGATGAGGAAAATGTTCCTGAAAAAGGGTTGAAGTAAGAGATATTAGAGGAGTCTCTACCAAATCCTACTTCCTAAATTCAGCTGTCTCCCAGAGACCTCTTCTAAAGTTAAACTTTATAGAGAAGTTGGAACTATTTAATTACTTTAAGTGTATGAACATATTCTAAAAATTAAGCAATAACAGAAATCTTTCCATTCATTCCACAGTTGAGTGTTATTATGTGCAAAAGTCTACTATATAAAGACAAATAAGACATGATTCCAGCCCTTGCAGAGCTTAGATTACAAGAGAGGGAAATACACATGTAAAACATGAATGTTATAGATAATGAATACATGAGTAAATAATGAAAACAGGCATATTTTCATGAAAGTCTTATAGATATTACTGGAGGAGTCTCCACAAGAGCCAGAAAGGAAGAACTGGCTAGTTTCCTGGGGAAGGGGAGTTGATGAAGGAAGCGTAATGCTTGACTTGACCTGTAGCTCCCTTTAGCTATATTATTCTCTCACCTCCCCATATTTCATGAATTGGAATAAAGAAAACTGCATTTACTGTCTCACTTCCCATTCAGTTCATTCCTCAAACCATGCAATCTGGCTTCTACCCCAGTACTCTACATTATAGGCATTCACACTTGTTGAATGAAACAGCTTTTAATAGCTTACATTTGTATAGCGCTTGCCTTTTGCCAGGCACTGTAATGTTTTGCATGTAATAAGTTGCTTAATTCCTACAACTACTCTCTAAGGTAGAAAATATTTCTACCTATTTCTAAGGTAGAAATAGGCAGCTGAAGCATAGACAGGTTAAGTAACGTGCAGGATCACAGCTAGTAAGTGGTGGAACTGGATTTCAAGTCCAAGCAGTCTGGCTCCAGGATCCATTATGAATGACTGAGTGAGCCTGGTTCCTGTTTACCCACGTCCACACACAGAGAGATGTCACCAGCATTCAAGGCATACATTTTTCTCTAGTTGAAACGGATTTGCCTCCCCTCTTCTCCCCTCCTCTTCAGTTATTCATTCAGGCAACTTTTAACACTCTTGTGGCCAAGTATCAATCTCGGCACTTGTAATACAGAAATAAAAGTTAGTCCCCACATCAAAAAACCTGAAAATCTGATGGGAGAAGATTGAGAAGAAAATAGGCACATAATATGATGTGCTAAGTGCAATGAGAATATGCCCAGAGGGGGAGCATTTAGCCCAGCCAGAAAAGGGTAACACCCAACCTGGATTTTGATGGAAAAGTAGGGTTAAGTCAAGAATGGGCACCCCAGTCTTCTTTCTTCTGTCCTTTTTTCCTGTGTAGAATGGGATGCAGTTGCTTCTTCAGAACCTTCAGAATTAACCTACATACCTGCTTGGTTCCATCTTCCTTCCCTTTCCTTCTTTGTCACGTTCTACTTGCCAGTCTGCTCACTATGCTTTTTACTGCACTTTGGTTCCCATGTCTTTTCATTCTTATTTTTTTCTTAGTTTCTTTCCCTCATTCTATCTTGAAGCTCTGTTTTATCTAATATTGTAGGAACTTTAACATACTGTCCCTCAGCCTCCTTTTTTTTCAGTCTAGCAGGATGGCCATCAAGTATCTAAAACACTCCTGGTCTGTAATTTCTGCAGCAAGGAAGACAGAAATCTGGCTCACAGTCTCGATGTCACTGGGCTATCAATTTCATTTTTGTTCATTAAGGGGAATACACCCCTGAAGCCTCTCCAGGAAGTCTATTGCTCCCAATTTAGTGTTTCTTGGGCAGGTTGTTTTAAATGTGCCTGGCTTTTCCATTCTTGGCCCTGGCTCCCAGCATGTATTAGATGTTGGCACTTGGCACAGACTGGTACCTGCTAATGCCAAGCACAGCCTCCTATAGAAACGTGGTAGGAAAAACTACATGGAGTGGTGGTATTTGCCTCTGGATTCAAATGGAGATGGAACCCTCTCTCTCCCTTAGCAGGGTAATCTCAGGCAAGCTACTTAACCTCTCTTTGCTTCCGCTTTTTCATTTTCTAAGTGGGCAAACTAGTAGAATTGAGATAATTCCTGTAAAACTTAGAATAGTGCCTGGAATATGGATTTTAAAAGGCAAATGTTCAATAAAAACCTGGAATAACAACCTTCCTTGACTAAGTCTGATTTTTCATTCAGTTATTTGGCCCCTGACTTGCTGTCCTTTATGCTCTAATGTTCATCAGTGTTACCTCAGTTTGCTTATTTTCTTCCCTTTTCCTTGTGGGTTTCCTCTGCTAATCTAGGTGTTTATAGTCCAGTGAACTGTTTGTGGTGGAAGATTGGAATATCGTCAGAAAGACAACACGTTGTTGTTACCAGTGATGATTTTAGGCTTGTTAGCAGAGGTTTATAATAATATAGGTTTTGGTTTCAGAAAGCAACAAGGATTATCTAGTACAGTGTCAAAGGCCTTGTTATAATGTAGATAAACTGTGCCTATTTCATTTTTGTACTATCTCTGTTACCTTATAGAGTTCAGAATTACTGATTTTCACCAGTGATTGTAAACTGTAACTCAATCTTGTTCTTTCTAAAACTTACTTTACAATTTTGAATGTTTTATAAAGTTGACATTTTAAAAGGCCAAATAGTTCCCTTTAGTCAAAAATTTCTCATACTTATATGTCTTTAAAACCTTAATTTTTCTTTTTTACATTTCAGATTGGTGTATTTGTATTGTAACATATGTGTTTCTCAGCATTATATATTGATATATATGTGTCACCCTTGATTTTAGCATTTTTTGGTCTCACTAATAAAATATTAATATTTGAGAATATTAATCTGATGAATAGAGCACCATATAGGAATTTCTAATTGTGTTACCATTAACTTTTAAGTTTTACTATTTGTATTTGTAGGTATTTATCCTATTTGTAGGTATTTTCAATTTTATACTATGTAAATTTTATACTATGTAAACATTTTCATAAAAAGTTTATCTAGGCACTAAGCATGTATCTAGGTACTAAGGATAAATTATATGGATGAACTGTTTTACTGTTATTTTTGCAATGAGTGTAATAATATAAGCAGAAGTATTTGTTTTTTATGGGCACATAGTCATTTTTTTTGTTTTATGATATATAAATATCTAATATTATATATACTATAATGTTTGTTGCTTTTGTTTTTGTGTTTCTTCTGCAGAGAGTGATAATGAACTCTCTAGTGGAACAGGTGATGTGTCTAAGGATTGTCCTGAGAAGATCCTGTATTCTTGGGGAGAATTGCTGGGAAGATGGTAAAAATTTATTTTTCTTACTGAAAATTTTATGTCTATATAATTGATTTGTATTAGTTAGGTTTTGTATTACATAATTTGTTGTATTAAAATCTTTGTGTTCATAGATTTTAATATTTTAATGTACTTTTTAAAAACATAAAAGTTAAAATAAAATTCCTAAGTGCTCTGTGTTTACCTAGGTCTTCCCCCCAGTATGGTCTTATATAACTTACTTTTGAAAGACATATTTGCCTTATTATTTTACCAGCCATAACATTGCTCAGAGGAGTGAATTTTATGCTCTATTGCCAACACATGTAGATATCTGTTGTTAAAGGGGTACATTTTCTTTCTCTACTAAGATGATTACCACTAAAAGGGGCTATAGAGTTTAGAAATACTCATTTCACCACTGATTATAAACTAACTCAGTCTGTTTTAATCTTTCTGACTAAAACTTTTACTTTACATTTTGGGATTTTTATCTGGAACTACAAAAAAAAGATACTCTGTTTATATTTATTATAATTAAGTTTTTAAAAAGGAGAATCATGAGTATCATATGCTGGTAAAATAAACAATCTTGCCAATAAAAAGATTCCGCCATGCTAGTGTAGACATATGGAAAACACTATTTTTTTTTTATTGAGTATGCATATCAGATTACATGCATGCAGGTAGTCCAGGAGGAACTACAAAGTCTGGGAAGACATGCTTTGTTTTGTTTTTTAATATAGTAAAGTAGAAGAAAGAACAATTAAAACTACTCTTATCTTGAGAGACAAATGAATGTTATTTATCGTGATCTCCTATACATATCCTAAGAGACTCCTGAGTTAATTTGGAGGTATGTATTTATAGATCCAAGGGTTGGAAGCTTATGACTTTTCATTGTAAAATCTGGATACTAGGTTCATCAAATTCCTAACCAAAGTGTTGAGCCGATTATGTTTGTGAGGAGATGCTCTAGGAAGAAGAGAGGGCCAGCTGCCTCACCTTTATTAAACAAAGAAAATGTAATTTATTTTATGTGTACAAATATAAAATAACACATCTCAGAATTTATCTAACTCATAATTAATAGGGAACCAGTAAGATATTAGAACCAATCAAGTGAGGATTTAATTAAGAGATTTGTATTCTGCACTTAACAATTCACCTGCACTGCATGAACAGGAATCATTTGAATAGCTAGATACAAAAGACTTTTGCATTATTGTCAGGTTTCTACACATCATTGCCTATCTGTGGAGAATTGTAAATTAGCCTCGTCAAAGACAAATAAAGGCATACACCCCTATGGCATCAGGTAATTCTCAGAAGCTCCGGCATTCCATTAAAAGGATGTTCAGCAACCTCTTTGGCCCGTATTAAAAATGTTTCACAATTTTCCCCTATACTATATCCAGAAGTTAATTTATTCATGTAAGCATTGTCCACCTACCTAAATTTATCTCACATGTTTTACTGATTTTGATTAGTGTTGTTGCCCCTATTGCTTTATGATGAACAGTTTTCAATTTAGATGGCCCCAAGTTAGTATTAAAGTAAAACTACTCATGATACTTCTTAAGCCACTTAGGTAGATTTTATTCAAAGGTGGGGGTGGCTATCATGATGGGTATAAGGATCACTGAAGTGGGTCTTGCAGTGGGGGAGAAAGATTGGGCTCAACTTCAAATACAGCGAAGAAAAGTGAGAATTTACAGCTAGGGAGCAGGGTGGAGGTCAGTAGATGGAAAATTACTAAGAAGAAACCTCAGGGTAATGTGGAATCCTGGCTAAACTGACCTAACAAGGTTCTTGCTGAAGGCAGATCAGCATGCTCAGACATCACCTTGGAGTGGTAGAAGATGAAGAACCCAGCTGAAAATCGAGGTTGATCAGATATTAAGGATGGGGGATTCTGTTAAGGCGCCCTCAATGTTTAACTCACCCTGGCACCAAAGCCCCTGGTTTCTGGTCCCTTTGACCCCCCATCACCTCTACATTCCTTTTGGAACATGGAGGTTAATTTCTCAGAGGGTGTGAAACAGCTGGTTTGGGGGTGGTGAATGGTGCAGGGGTCTATTTCGTCCTGCTGGTGCCCAGGACTGCAATCCTGTAGGTTAAGTCTAAACCAACAAGCTGGACTTCTCTGCTTCATTCTTTGGCCTCTCAGCAGCTTGGGCAATTGGGGGCATATTGACCATGAGCCTGTGACCCACTTTCAGCTTCAGGATCCCTTCTCCCCATCCCCCATCACACACATACACCATCAGCCATCTTGCCATACATTCCTCTAATGGGATTCAGATGTTTTTTGTGTGCCTCTAAATGCTGCCTAGAAATATTCAGTTACACATTTGTTATTCCGCGTAAGTTCATAGGGTGATTAAAAAAAAAGTAAATGAGAGGAAGAAGAACCTTTCCTTGATGGTGGAATTACATGGTTCACCAAAAAAGAAGATAAGATCAGGAAAAGTAGTCAAAGACATCTCAGAGCTTAAACTCTGTCATTATCTCATGCCCTCCCCCGTTCTCTCTTGAGCCAGGCTTATCCTTTATGTAAATTCATTAATATACATTTCATAACACCAGCAGTTCAGCAGTGGTGAGGGGAGTATGAATGCCTTATTTTCTTGTTTTCTCAGGCACAATAACCTCAGTGCACGACCGAAAGGGCTGCCCACACTGGTGAAGAGCGGTGTCCCTGAAGCTCTGAGGGCAGAGGTGTGGCAGTTGTTAGCAGGCTGCCATGACAACCAGGCAATGCTGGATAGATACCGACTTCTCATCACAAAGGTAGGAAGCTCTTTTCATGTTATATTCCTGGGACAACATTTAAAATAAATCCTGTTTTCATAACTCCGATAGCCATAAATGCTTTGGACCTATTTCAAAACTCTGTCAGTGTGGTGCAGTGAATAGTTCTGCCTTTTGTTCAGAACCCTTCTTGGATAGTGGTAAACAAGGCACCATAGTCAGCTGCAGGCACTTTATGCCTTGGCTTTCATTTTATCCTGTTAATGACTTTCTGATAACTATTTACCAAATTGGAATATATTTATACTTCAAGTGTAATAAAGTAACCTTTTCTTGTTGTTTGAGATTTATATATAGTTATAGTTGTTCACAATATAATTGTCTTCTAGTATAATTTTAAACTCAAACTAACTTAAAATGTAATCAAAAGGCCTTCTGTGCCTATGTGGCCTCGCACTTCAATGATGTGTGGACAGTTGTCCAGATCCTTATTCTGTCAGGAGCCCCTGGATCCAGTGTGAATTCCTTTGCTATGTCTAAAAGGCTCATTTTAGAGCATGATAAAGGTCATCCTCGGTCCTACACTGTCTTCACAGGCCTCACCTCCTAATTTCTTAATCCACTCTAAATCATAGATTTTAAAAATAATAGCAACTTTTTTGTTTTTAAAAAATCTCAATTCATAAGTGTGATTTTTTGATAAGCAAGACTTTGTTCCTCGGGATATATCAACTTTTATAATTCTTTAGGCCCTCTAATTCCTTCTTCCCTTCCTCCTTCTTTGCCCCTTCACTTCCACAAATATTTTTGAGTGCCTAGTGTATTCAGTGACTGCTGAATTCAGATTTTTAAAACTATTTTTCACAATTAATGTTTTCTACAGTGGCATGTGCAAAGTGATCCATGGGAGGATATCTAAAGTTTTATTTGTATATTTTAAATTACAAAATATGAAGCTGCACTGATACTTGCTGTGCTAATGATTGCTCTGCTGTGGTACTGAGACCTCACTAGGTCCTTGGGCCCAATGGCCACTTGTCCCACGTGGTTCAGGAGAGACCTGAGGGAAGAAGGGGCTTGCACACGTTGGGGCTGAATAACAGTGGTGCTCACACTTAGATGTTCACTTTCAGAATATTACAGTTTTTGCAGTTTGCATGTGTTTGATTATGTGGATTTATAGGAAATCTAGTTTTAATTTAACCTTAACTCATAGGATGGATGAATGGTTTGAAAAGATTGCTGTCACAGAACGTTACATAGCAAGATGTTTAAAAAACACTAGTCTATCCCTTCAAGTAAGAACTGATGTTATGATGATGGATGACAACGCCTACTTTGGAAATAAACTTATGTTATAAAGACGGGCATTTGACACATTTGGCAATTTAAATATTGCTATGTGATTTTGTCACTGTTGGTGCACAACTAAGAGGGCTGTCCATGCTGCTGAAGAGCGGTGTCCCTGAAGCTCTGAGGGCAGAGGTGTGGCAGTTGACTACTTATCCAGGGAGTCTTAGAAAACTACATGTGTATATTATTATAAAAACTCTTTATGTCTTCTTACTTAAAAACCTGAAATCAGGAATTTCAAATATAGTTAAACTTGTACAATTAGTTCCAGAGAATTTGGGACTGAATGTTAAAAATATAAAAATAACAGTATAATACAGTAGCTTGGGTGTGTAATAAAAGTAAATAATGAGAGAAATAGTCATATATTGGAAGTTTGTGCTCAGAAAAGTTTTTATTGATGAGGCTATCTGAGCAAATATGTGCACAGACCATAATTTTGGGTGTCAGATACCTTTTTCATATAAATAACAAGCTGTGTACTTTTAATGGCTGCTTATGGGGTAACAGCTAGAGGCTTTGTTAAGATTTCAGACTTTGGGAGAAAAATTAAAATATTATTTGTGAACTCCTGACACTATAGTATATGCTCATATGTGTGATAAGTTTTACCATATATACCAAGTGCCATCTAAGGAACTTGCCCAACATCCCAAGCTAGTAAGCAACAGAGTTTAAAATTTGAAGCCACTGTTGCCCTCCATAGTGAACTCCTGCGTTTCCTCCTGGATTCTCCCACATATTAATTTGTAATCTTGAGAAGTTGTCCCAACTTTCTAAGGCTCAGTTTCATCATTTGTAAAGTAGGGATAATAGGATTGTTACTGGGGTTGTTGTGGGAATGAAATAAAATGATACAGTGCTTGGCACATTGTAAGTATTCAAGATTAGTTTCTACTGTTTTTGCCAGTATGATATTACATCATAACATGATAATAGTAATAATGGATATGGTATCAGTGTATACTTCCACTTTAATAGGTGTATTAGATAACTTCCTGTCACATAATTTTCAGAAGAGCTCATGATGTGAATAACAGTTGATGGAATGGAGAAGAAATCTTTTTAGAAGCATGAAGTGTCAGATTTGTCTTTTTTGTTTTTGTCTTTTCTTTCCTGGCTGTTATATATTATGTAATATTTTAATTCTAAAACTTGACTTTGTAGTGGTTACATGAGTTATTATTTTAGTGGTTACGCATATTCAAGTATATCATAAAGTCAGATAATATTCTCTAAAAGCCACTCCTAATGACTATCTGATATAATCAAGATTGCAAGGCAGGTGTTAATCTCATTCACTTATTAATTCACTCATTCAGTAACTTTATGGAGCATCTTTGATGGGCTGCATCTCTCTATGGTTTTCAAGGCTATGTAGACGAAAAGAGTTCATACCCTTGATGAGTGTAGCTTTGGGGGAAGCCAGGCCTATACATGGGTAGGTCAAGCATATTCTGATACAGGTTATAATAGGTTTCTTAATCATGTGTGTGGCATATAGATGAGGTAGCGACAGCTCTGCTTGGATGAGCCATGTGGGAATTACATATGTCTGAGCAGCCTAGAAGAGGGAGTGCAGTGTAGGGGGCGTTTATGTAATGACTCAGCTGCCAGTTAGTAACTTGGTTGGATTATCCAGGGAGTCTTAGAAAGTGAAATCAGTGTGTTTTTTCCTCTCCTTACTCCCACCGCAGATATCCAACTACATGCACTGTTTACAGATCAATGCTTGTCCCTGTTAAATGGGAAGAATGAAATGCAAGTTTATTCTTGTTAGAATAAACATATGAAATTAAGAACCTCAGAAAATATGTCATATCAAAATGATATCGCAAGAGAATATTTAATTGGTCACCTGGAATTGATGTAATAGAATTTAACAAGTAGTATCACAATGTCTACTCAATAAATGTTTGAGTACCTGTAGTCTAAGTTCTGTGCTAGGATGGTAATGCATATTAATTTTTAAAATCAGTGAACTGAAAAAATACCATCTATTGCCTAAATATAAGACAGTATAAACTTACAAAGAAGAAGGCGAAGTTTATAAACTACTGAGAGCATGTGCTCAAACCTCTATCAGAGAGCAAAAGGGACAATAGTTGCCATTATTACTTTGGCAGTTGCTGCAAAAACCTTTTGGGAAAATAAATAAAAAAACAACCATTTTAAGATCCTACAAGTTCTCTGCTTTCTTGAACATTGTTTGGACAGATTAAGCTTCTCAGGTTTAACCTTGTTAGATTATTGGTACTGCTCAGAATAAAGCCTGTTCTCTCTCTGTTCTCCAGTGCATTATTGTTGCAGATGGCTTTTCATATAACACGTAGCTAAAGAAAAATTTTTACTCTACTTTGTTGGAATGTATGATAATTCTAGTTATGGACATTCTCAAGAGGAAATATTTAAATTGGTATTTTTCTTATGATTGAGTAACATTAGGTGAATATTTAATTGAAAAGTTGAAAATATGGTTTCAGTTATGTATTTTTTTATTTGATAACTTTTCACATTTAAATTAAACTGTACATCATTTAGTCAGGTAGATGTCTGCTTTTTCTTTACATGGTTTATTTTTTAAAAATTCACTGCAATGTGTTCATCAGCCAATGCTCAACACTAAATTTCATTGAGAGACAGGGCATTGCCTGATTACATGCTGCTCTGTTCTCTGGCATCACCTTGTCTGGTTGAGGAAATGAGCTTCTTGATGGAATGGGGCTGTTCCAGCTGGGTCTGTACCACTGGGATGTGGAAAGGCCACGGACTCTTGCACTGATGCGGCCATAACATTTACAACAATTCCTCCAGAAAATTTAGAGTTCTTTAAAATTTATTAACCAAAAAAATAAGGTGGGCAAGGAGAATAAAGAGCACTCTCTGTTGTAATGTAAATACCCTGAACTCGTAGGTCTACCGGAAGGTCCTTATTAAAGGAAACTAGGAATTATTGAAAGAGATTTTTAAAGATGTGCCTCTTATTTCCTCTTTTCTTGCATAATGAGGGCGGTGCTTTCTTACTATGTAATCATGCCTCTGCTTCTTAGTGTTTCACAGTGGAATTGTCGTCGAGTTTTCTGCCCTCGTCCACTGAGCTCTTTCATCCTGTCGCATCTACACTGGCGCCAGCGCGCAGGAACTAGGGTTACATGCGAACCCGAGGGCGAAAGCTTCCCACCGGCACTGACATGTTTCTGTAAAAAATTAAAAGTAGATCCTTAATTATTTTCATACACATAAATGATGATGTTCTGTTTCTCATAACAAATGTTAGCTTTGTTATCCTCTAAACATAGTAAGTAGTTTTGAGGTAAATTAAAGGTGATTTTCTGATGTTACCTTCATTTTCATATCCTGGAATTAGAGTAGGAGTGCACTGTTTCTAAGGAAGGCTTCTGGGTGATTATTGAGCATAGATGATTCAGTGGCATAAAAGCTATATTTATAGCTATAGACTTAGGGATAAGAGGGAAGCAGTGATCTTCTTAAAACTCAGATTTTCAAGTGCCTGGAGTTACAGTGGGACCCCTGGATTCCAGTTTCACAATAACTTTACTGACCATATTGGCACATATTTCTAGAGCATATATATTTATATTGTATTGGGTAATAGGGTATGATGAGTTTTCTCCAGGGCTTTTGCTTTGGCTTTGATTTACTTTTCCATTCAAATTTATGTTTAG